GAAAATGCTTCAAAATGGCCTGAGACGCTGTGAATCAACAAAGAAAACAAAAAGGCAATAAGGTAAGTCCATTTTATTACAAAACAAGACATTTTTCTCTCTTATAAGGCATTAACCGATAACATCCCATACAAACCTTTATAAATATACAACGTTGCGCAACACTGTAAGAGTCACGTCCGCTTTTCTAGTAGTGAGCTTGGGCTGCCTGTGTGGGATGTAGCTAAGACGGCTCATCACTTAGGCAGAGGGGGAAGGGGAAGGGGTAGCTTATAACTGAAATTTATTTCACACTGCTAAAAGACAAAGTCATGTACCTTGGAACCAGTCCACCCTAAAAGGGTAAATGGAAATTGTTTATATGGAGTCACAATCAAATCTACTCTCCTCACTGTAGCCGCCATCTGCTCAGGGGATGAAGCACCTGTGGATGAGCCTGTCATGCCAGCTTCACCAGTGGTTTGCATACCTGTATATTCTACCTTCTCATTTCCAAACATTTTCCCCATTTGGAACATGCAGAAGCAATGATTAAGACTGTCCATATGGCCCACCTGTCTAGTGAAAATAGAACATATGCCACTCATTATTTTTAATTTGTTTATAATTTATAGTGTAATTAACAGGAACTTGGTTTAATGTCCTTCTCTACCCTGGATATCGGATGAAATACTGGGACCAATCTGAATCAATCTGGATCTTAAACTACTTATTAACCTTCTTACTTTTATTAATTTCTTATCCCTAGAATTTGTTTAGTTGCAAATTATGAATTAAGTTCTAAGTTTCCTATCAAACATTTGAACCCTCAGAAGTGATTTGATATGTGTGACATCACCAAGAAGAGATGAGAACTAACGGACAAAGTACCCTCAGCTGCAGGTTGTTATCCAGACACAACACTGAACTTTTATATTAAGTAATTCATAATTAGGTAAATGTAGATAGCACCTAGCAGGAAGAATTACTTCACAGATCAAAGGTCAGTTCGAGGATTATTAAATGGAATTTTCCAATGGTGTAAAAGGGTTTCAAAACCAACAAACAAAGCTCCTTTAAGCTGCCGCAAATTTCCTAGCATTGCTGATGGTGGGATCAGCAAATTTTCACCAGACATTCTGAGACAAGGAACAACAAACACAGCACAAAACAAAGCTATCCAACAATCTGAATCATCAGGAGAATTATGAACTTCTCTGCACCAGTTATATGAAACATACTGTCTCTTAGCCAGTAGCTTGCAGAGCAAGTGATATTTTTTTAATCTTTTGACAATGAAGGACAAGCACAAGATGAGCAGAAAGAAAGCACCAGGGGCAAGACACATGCAGGTAGAAATTATTGCAAAAAGAAAGAAAAACTACCAGCACCATTTTATTCCCTAAGCCTCCTCTGAAGCTACTTTTATGAGACCCTTCCTTTATGCTTTTACTCACCTAAAAAACTCCAAATATGATACTTGTCAGAACAATTATTATTAAATAGTTACAAGGCAACCCTCTTAAACATGTCATTGAACTAGCATACCTTTGACTTCCTTCAAAGTGTGGGCTACGGCCTACCATCAAATCCTTGTGATGAATATGACCCTAAACAGTATGACATTGAGATTGTTAGATTTGTTTGTTGGCTGTAACCTAAAGGGATAACACCACCACTTCTTAAACTTACCAACTTTTCGAGCCTTTCAACCAATTTTTGTAAAAGGCCTTCCACCTTGTTATCATTCTGGTGCGTGATCAAAATGTCCACATCGTGTCCAGAAGGTTTGCCTCTGCATGATTAAATAAAGAGAATTTTTTTCTGCTCCTTTGAAGTTTATTTTAATTCTCAAATAAAGAAGTAAATAGTCAGAATTTATTGGTGGTACATCTCTTAATTCAATGAAGGAGTCTTGGTTCACCCCACTGAATAACAGAAAATTAACATTTGAAAAAATGTAAGATGTGATTGACATTCATTCATGGCTTAGAAGATGCATGGTTTTTTTTTCATTTATTTATCAGTTAGTGTAGTGAGGTTGGATTGGGTTCAAGAAATGTCATGATTAAAATTTATAAGTATATAGATTAACACTTTGTTTAAGATGGTAAACTGAAAAAAAATTATCTAATAAAAATATAGGCAAAAATTAAATTAATGTTTTTATGTGGCAGTTTACTATTTGCTCCCACTTTGGCCTTCATATCAGTAAATGATATTGTTTTTGGACCCGAACTGTGAAAATAAACTGGTCCCACACAGCACTGCTAGGCACATGGTATGTAGCATGTTTGACAGTGTATTAGTAGCATATGATCATCATTATTGTCGTTTTAAAATGGTAATAATGAAACTAAGTTAAACATACAAATCAAAGTCTTTTTCTGCTGCATCATGGAAAGACAAAAATTAATAAGACATTGCATCAAAATTATTTTCAAGCTGAGACTTCAGCAATAGAGGATTTGTATGTATTTTTTATGAGGTAAAGATCAAAAACAATAAATGAATTGATTAGAAAAGAAACAATTTTTTCACCTACGATAGCCTCCAACCAACTCCACAATACAATTTGGTTGAACTTTTGATAGCTGTGGAAAGAGTGTTGCAATTGGAAATTGTAGGTTCATTATTATTGATTAGTAACATTTCCCTGTACATGTGCATGTCTTACTATCCTTTATGAAAATATCCCCCTAAGTACAATTTGAGGCCTTTGTATTATACAGGCACAAAAAAATCATCCAGTCAAAAGAAATGAAACATCTTTTCACTGCTTACTCCTCCTTAACTAAACCTACCTCTTTGATAACTATGTCTTTAATGTGGAAAGCTTCCTCTTTTGGAACAGGTTTAACCAGATCACTGTGATACTTAAAACCTGTATATTGATTCATGAAAATTAATGTCTACTCCATTATTGTTAACATTTGAGCATCTGAAGGCAAGGAATCACAAGCTAGTGAAGACACAGAATATAAATTATAATAAATTATAATAAATTAATATAAATTATAATAGATGGCATGGCATTATGGCCAGTAAAAGTGTATTTAAATATTTTCATGGTCTTAGCAGCCATGTTGAAACTGATTGCAAGTTCCATGCTTGAATTAGAGACTGAGATTTTTTCATTAATATATATTACAAACCATTACCCATAGCCTGTTGTTCAGTGAGTTTCATTCCATCTGACACTGCCTGAAGTACATCAGCTATGCTGCGGTAGCCTTTCTCCTACCACTTCCGAGCTGTCGCAGGTCCACACCCATAGATAGATGAGAATAACTGTGAATGTATCATAGTTGAAAAGGTTTAATATTAAGAGTCTACTGAATTGCCCTCCTAACTGCCTTACTAAGTGCCCAAGTAACTGACAGACAGACAGAAGGCAGGGCTAACCAACTAACTCACTCAATGACTCATTGACCGACAGACAGATGGATGGACTGACTGACTGACTGACAGACCAACATATTGACTGACCTAACCGACTAACTGACTGACTGACAGACTGATTGACTGACTGACAGTCTGACAAACTGAAAAACTAATTGACAGTCCGAAAGACTAACTGACTGATAGACTGACTGACTGTCTGTTAGACTGACTGGCAAACTGACTGAACAACTGATTGACAGACTGACTGACTGACTGACTGACAAATTGGCTGACTGACAAATTGACTGACTAACAAATTGACTGACTGACAAACAGAATGACTGAATAACTGACTGACTGAATGACTGACAGACTAACTGACTAACTGACTGACAGACTGAATGACTGACTGACTGACAGGCTGACTAACCGACAGATTGACTGACTGACAGATTGACTGACAAACAGAATGACTGAATAACTAACAGACTAACTGACTGACAGACTGAATGACTGACTGACTTACTGACAGGCTGACTGACTAACAGATTGACTGACTGACAGATTGACTGAATGACAGACTGACTGACTGACTGACTGACTGGCTGATTAACTGACTGACAGATTGAGTGATGGACTGATTGACTAACTGACAGGCTGCCTGACTGACAGATTGACTGACTGACAGACTCACATACTAATTGACAGACTGACTAATTGACTGACAGATTGACTAACTGACAGGCTGAATGACTTTACAGATTGACTGACTGACTGACTGACTGACTGACTGACTGACTGACAAACTAACTGACCAAGTTGTTCTCTCCTCTCTTCTCTCCTTCCATTCCCTCCTTTCCTCACTCACTTATTAATTGAAACTCACAAACCTCCATGGTCTTGAAAAAGTCACTACTTAAGATGTCTTGAACTTCATCTGATGAGCCATTTTCTAAAATTTCCTGTTTCAGCAAGAATAAATAGGTTATAAAAATAAAAAAAGATTGCCAGATTTTATTTAGTAATTAAAGCTAACCATATATTGACAAACTTGCCTGGATCACTTTCTTGCTATGACTTCCAACACTGCTCAGTTTGGATGCCTCTTCAATTCTAGTGATCTGTCTACAGAACATTTGATTTAATCAAAAAAGAAATACCAGTAGATTGAACTGAGAGGATCAAGAAAATGATCATAAAGAATAAGTGACTATAACAATGCTTTTTTAGTACATTTTGAGTATTTTGTACCATACTTTGGATAAGACTTGAGTGCACAAGCTGCTCGTCTGAAAGCAAGGGCTCTGGAATCCCTTTGACTACTGTCCACATACACTGCATGCCGTTCAAGTATTTCTAATGCATTCTGAAGAAATTAAAGGAGCCACGTAAAGAATCATTTACTCTCTTGTCAAAATGCAACTGTACAAATGCATAAATTTCACTCAGTTGCACCTATTTTCAGTCTAACTTGCTTTAAACAAAAGAAATAAAGAGAGACACAGTCATGTAATTTTTTCATCACATCATACTTTAGGATTGACAATTTTAAATCCACTTGGCAAAGATAGGGTGTGCCCTCTAAGCTTCATGGCCTTACACCCTTAGAGCTCATCCCATTTTCTGCAGCATAGAGCAACTACGAGTATTCTGACCTGCTCTCCGTAGCTGTGACACTGATCCACTGCAGGTACCCTTATGGATTTAGACAGGTTTCCCAGACAGTTCACTAATACCCATTCATTCTCTTGGGCAGATAAAGGCACTTTAATTAAGGCATGAATGTCTCACCCAAGGACACAATAAATTGATGGCAACATGACTCATACATGAACCTCTCTTAGAGCTTTAACAGTCTCATGAGTGACCAAGACAAAATCTCTCTTCATAACATCAAAACAAAATCAAGCAGACCAGAAACAAGAATAAAGAGAGATATCAATAAGGTGATTATCAGCTGATCCAGTACCAAATTCTCTTAACTAACACCATAAGAATTGTATGGCAAATGGTAAGGAGAATTACTAATGAGATCTAATGGGTGTGAAGGGGTTAAACCTTGAAAGTCCTACAAGCTCACCATAGTACCACTACATCATCCCCCCCCCAACACCTTACCTAAATCCCATAAAATTGCTTGTCTGAATGGCCATATCAAAAGTAAAGTTTTTCTAGCTCAGCTTTCATATATAGCGACCTTCACTCTATATACTTACAGTAAACTTGGTATTATGGTGGATCAAAGGCGTTGCCCTTTGGCAAACAAACTTTGTGTCCTGCAAGGAAAAAATGCAAAATCTACAAATTGAAAATAACTCAATAGGAATATCAAATAATATATTACTGGATAGCAAAGACACGACTAGAATATGGATAAGAAAATCATAACATTGTGCCACCTGATATTCACCGAATGAAGTTTCTTCCAACTTGCTGCTTTCTGCCTCTGCCACACTGCAAACACATTTAAAACCACATTTTTGTGCTAGAAGTGAAGAGCTCTGGATAAGGAAATCTTGATGAGTAGATCTAACTCCTTTGGAGAGTGAAGAGTATTATAATTATATCCTGTCAAAGAAGGCGTCACACTAAACAGCATGTGGATAATTAGTAGTAATCATGAACCAGTCTTCCACTTTTAATTCTTCAAATTAAAAGTTTTACCTATAACCAACATAATTTAGGCATTCAAGTTCTATATTATCTTTGTTCATTGTTGTATTGATCATGACTTTTTCACATACTATTGGGTGCCTTGGGTGCAACTCTTAGTCATAAAAAGAAAACCTCCATCTTACACCAGCTCATGCATGCCAACAGATATCTCATGCCTAGAAATATGGTTTTAAAAGGTGAACTTTAACTCAAAACTCCATCAATAAAAAGGTGAAAGTACTGTAAATCATTGTTAATAACCAAAACCTTTGGTTCAAGATACCCTAAAGTTTGAAAATAATTCAAACACCCTGATAAAGTTTTATTTCAAAGATCTTGTGGAATTTTTTAGACATTTTCAGGCATGATTGGTTCACCCTTAGTATACAGGTTCTCGAGAATAAAAATCTCTGGCCTTAGTTAGCTTTGTCTCCAAAAAAGTTAGCCAGTAAAACATACCCACAAGATTTCTGCGAAGTCAACTCTCCACCAGACTTGATCCTAACCTTGTCAGTAACATTAACTATTTTGCCTTCTGTTATGCAGTCAGTTAGCCCTGGTGAACAGTCAGACGATCAAAATATAAGCAATAACATTATTATATCCTAATTAACAATCAATCAAATGGCAATAACTCAGTGAGACAAAAGTGATCGATGGATTTATATGCACTGAGATGATTCTATCAGGAAAAATCTGAAGTCTTGAATACAGGTTTTTTTTTTTCCCTGTACATTCAGATAAATTCACCAGAGATTCATTATACTTCGAGTAAGAACTTGCCAGTCATATTGACATCACAGAAATGAAGGTACCAGTGCATTCAAAGAGTAATTAGCCAATCTGAGGGAAAAGGTTGATTTCCCAAACAAACTCTGGTGCGAGAAGCTTGATAATTGACCTATAATGTACATACATAGACTTCTACTTACAATAAAGACTCACTACTTCTACATTTCTTGCAGGCTGCCTAAAAAAAGAAGTAATCAATGCTCATAAAACTGAGATAAAAAAAATCTCTAGTAAAGAGTATAAAATTTGGTATTAATAATAATGTTTCTTTGTTTCTGATTTCTCTTGCACAAAAAAGATCCATAATAATTATAATTATTAAAAACTGGATCATTGGATAATGCAATTCAAGACTTTTCATTGGCTTAGCCATTATGGTATATCAGCCAATATACCATAAACTACGATATGGTAAGCGTATGCATAAGCTTAAAATTGAAAGGGAGCTAAAAATTTAATAAAATTTAATAATTTAATGTAGCGTTTTTAATAAAACAATTATTCCACTCGCGTTTGTTGGATATGAGATGATTATAGCTATCTATCATCTCATATCCAACGCGCGCTGGTGGAATAATTGTTAATTATACCATTACTGATTCAGGGCTTTTCTGTTTTTTTTAACCCTTTATACCTCTGGGATTCCCATACATAATTACTATGGTTGTTGAGACATAAATAAGTATTAGGAAAATGTTTAGATTGGCTAATACTTATTTCCTAAAGTATTTTCGTACCAAATTTTGTGAAATCCCAATGAGTGGTTCTCGAGAAATAGGCATATTTGTAATTTTCCATTCAATCTCAATTTTTTGACTTACTACACATGTGCTGCATTTAACTGGTTTCTTTCGCTAACGACGAAAAAGCTAAGAATTGCTGGTTTCTTTGCACCGTTAACTTTTCTAACATATATTTATAATAAAAGATTAAAACCTTCAATACACTGCTCCAACTATAGAGAAAAATAGCGCAGATAGTGCGGGTACGTGTTGAGTAAATGAAATGACTGTGCAGTGTTGATGGCATGTTTGTTTTTTGCAATCCTTGTGCGTGCGCTGAATTACATCAGCAAAAGCGTGCACGAAAATTGTGTTTGGCCACCTTAACTGGATAACGTATGGATATTATAAGGAGAAGTTACATGTTAATCACTTCTGGGAATTAAATAACATCCCCTGCTAACTAGCTAACCAGTACGGAGAGGATGCACGGGTAGGATCTGAGGTTTCACACTCACCAGCAACAGCTTCAAAGAGGGCTTTTAAAAATGAACAGAAAAAATGCTATGTATACTCTCATTAGTAAACTAGTACATTTAGATCAAAGCATGTCAACATGGTTGTGATATGTTTTAGATGTGAGTATATATCTGAGAATTATTTTGTTTAAGCTTTATCTCAACACTCGTTACGCAAACCCTTGACTGCATTTTGATTTAAATAGCTTTCTCCCTTTTCCCCAACTCTTTTATGTTTAGATAAAAAATTTGGAACATAAATAAACTCATCCACTTATTGCTTCATTTGAGTACCTTTCTAGGAAAGCATGAATTTTTTCCACAGTGTCGTACGCAGTGACTATATGTGTCACTGAATCGCTGAAAAGAAAATTTTTAAGACATCATTTACTTCAAGTGACAGCAAAAAAAAAAAAATATATATATATATATATATATTTCTTATCAGTTAATTGAATGAACAGATCTCTACATATTTCATGGTAAAAACTTAGGAATTTCCCAAGATAATCTGATAGTTTTCAACTCTTGGACAAAAGAAGAAAATTTGTTAACTAGCCGCTTACCCCGGAATTCGAGGCGGAGGGCATTCTGTGCAGGTCGCGCTGAATATTGTAGGTATGATCTATAAATTTCTCTGCACACTGGCTTTTCAGTATTACTTACCAAGTGCCTAGATCGCTCCTACAGTTCTCTTTTTCTTCCTCGAGGAGTTATCATAGTAACTCAGCTGAGGTCTATACTATGCAAACAAACCTGAAACGTTCCGATAGGGGAAACCCTTTCTTCTGCGCCAGATTGCTTAAAACTTGTAGCCTCGCTTTAGGAATCTTTTTAGGGACGATATAGATCAGTGTTTCTGCAAGCTTTGTGGCAGTAGTCCGCTCGCTGTCACGCTGAACTTTTCCATTATTGTCCTGATCTATTTTGAAGCGCTTGGCCTCCATTTTGTTTCCCCGCCGAATGTTTTGATTACCAGTCTCTGCGCTTTTCAAGTACAGAAAACAAACTGCTCTGCTAATGCTAGCCTACATACCACAGCTCATCTAGCTTTTGTAAAATAATTTCCTCTGTTATCTCGGCGTCTGACTCATAGTCAGACACCACTCCTTCGTCGTCATCTCCAAAATCATCATCCCTCTTTTCACTGACGATGTCTTCCGCGCTACTCGACCTCCTTGTCTTGTCAACTGGTATGTTCTGTTGAGCTGCTGGTTCGAGAATGGCGGCGGTATGTTCCACAACTTCCACGGATCCTAGGTCTGAAAGGTTAAGGTTTGACTCTAATCTGGCTCGCTCTCTTGAACTGCCTACATTGAAGGCCAGTTAGCCCAATAGATAGTGCGCTGGACTGTTGTGTGGGAGGTCGAGGTTTCGAGCCCAGGCCGGACCAACACTCAAGGTCTTAAAATAATTGAGAAGAATTTGATACCTTTCTATTACATCAAGAAATGGTTAGATATTCTAGTCTTCACGGATAAGGACGGATAAATGGAGGTCCCTTCTCCTGCAGGGTTAGGGGTAGGAGACGTTAATTTCCCACACACGAGATTACTGTGTGATGGATGTCCTCCCCCTGGGGTGGGATGGGTGGCTTTAATGGGCCCGCAGTAAATTGGCGCAAGCTGTTGCAGTGTCCCCGCCTCTCGGCGAATCTAATAAATTAAACTAAAAATTGGTCTTCTTTCCCTTTTTCCACCTGTCATCCATTAGTTTATCGATCTCGTCTTCTCGTACTCTCTGGAAGGTGCCTTTTGTGGAGTTTCTTTTACATCCTTTTTGTTGGGAATCGATACTCCGGGAAGATATCTCCACATTTTCGAAAAAAAGATTAGGAGTGTGTTCCGTGAGGTGACAACACCTCACAAAGTGAGGTGTTGTCAATCGCATATATACATATCTTATTAACCAAGCGCGAGGGCCGTACTGGGAGAATATCGGCCCGAGGTCTTGACAGTACGGACCGAGCGCAGCGAGGTCCGTACAAAAAAGACCGAGGGCCGATATTCTTCCAGTACGGTCCCGAGCAAGCTTGGTTAATAAGAGATTTATTATACGACTGAAGATCAAAGGGACACAAGTGCGGTATCATTCGGGACCATTCGGGACAGTGCCCGGTCCAATACTGAGAGAATATTGACCGGCAATAGAGCATTTTGATTGGTTGATTTTAGTTATTGACCCTCTGACTGCCCGAGTGGTGTAATAATTATAATTATTGTGTTGATGGACTCTCCAAAACTATGTAGCTTCAAAGAAAAAAAAGACTTAATTTTAATTTCAAATCAGTTTAATCGAAAAATAAACCCTAAATTTCTTACTTTGCATGTAAACTTCGAGATAACCCGTGAGTAGATATAGTTTGGTTCGCCAGTCGGGTCGCCATTGTTGCCTTCAGATTCAGCAGAACGATTTGTTTATGACCAGCAGTAACATGACTATGATTATCTGCTTCATGTAATTATTGTTGAATGCATATCCGAAGCGCGAATGTGTGTACGTGTGTATGTACTAGGTTTTTAAGCTTCCAGAATAAGAAAAGTACTGGTAGGTCTTATTTATTTTTTTTTTTTTTTCCAAAAACAGTCAGTTTCATTTTTTTATGAACTGAATGAAAATTCCAGTCGCCAAACCGGGCGAATGATCCACGATTTGCACTAGCCCCACAGGCTTCACTCCTTCCCGCATTGGCGAGTGGGCGAGCGCTAAATAAAAACCCTGAAAATGTGAACTAATTTTGTAGAAAGACAAACTCACCTCGCTTCTGTGTTGTTTCTTTGCGTCTTTCGAGATTTATGGGATGATTTAAGGCCGTATAACTCGGTTTTACAACAAGTCCATCTGCTTTCTTTGGTGAAGCGCAAGGCAGCAGTTACTGTCAAAAAGCCCCTCCTTACAGTATCAATAAATCTTTGACATTTACAAGCAAATGCATAATGAGAATTGAGAAAACTATCAGACTAAGGTTCCTATTTTGATACAACTCTAAACTTTCTAAAATGATACACGTGGAAATGTAAAGGAGTCAACAAGGAGAGTGGATTTTTTTATCTTCGCTGTCTAGAATTCAAGTTTAAGCCATGAACGCGGACTGTACTGCGTCTGTCTTCCGCGCTAGGGTGGGAAGGCGAAGGGGAGCTCTTTTGGATCATGTAATTTTATCTGGAAGAGCTTGTAAGTTTGTAGATACATACTTAGAAACAGTCTGATTCACTAAGAGAAATTTTTTTTTTTTTTTAAAAAAACTTTATATTTACGTAAACGCTAACCAGAACTGATAACTAGGAAACTATCGCACAGAAAATTTTGATCTCAGTTCTCTTTCACAAGATCAGTCCCGAGGGCTTTCCACCTTCCTCAGTTTTGACAAGATAAAGAAAATTATCGGTGAAACCTCATTATCTAAATTATTCAACTGCGCAAGATCGGTCAAGATTTTAAAATACCTGAATTTGCTCAGTTAATATTTTAAAAAAATTATTTGAAGGATGCTAATGGAAAAAGTAACCCGAAAGGAGTAGGGAGAAGAGTTGCTTTCTTCGACTACATTTTAAAAATTACATCGGAGATGAAGCAGGGTAACGTCTCATTTTAACTGATGTTGGTGTAATGACAAGTTTTGGATCACATACAGATTTCACAGGAATACGAGTAACTATTATGTGGTCAGTTGAATAAGAGGTTTCAAGAACTTTCTTCATAAGCGGCTGCCACAGGTGTGATATGGCTGTCCTTAGGAAGGGCCTTGAGGCGAAACCCAAACACGACAGCCGCCTATTTACAGGCTAAACAAGACCGTGGTGAGAGGTCGATCTTCAAGTTGTCGGTGACGGCACTGATCGCTGTTCACTAGCTTTTGTCGAAACCCCTTACGTTGAAAAGAAACGCTCGCGATGTATAGTTGCACCTGTTAAAAATCATACATAATGATGTTTGATTAGTAACAAAGAAAGCTTTCTTTCATGTTTCGAATCACTAATGCTGTTGAATTCATAACCAAGGCCAAGGACAGTGTTTCTCGTGAAAGTAAACTTTTGAAACAGTATTGTATTTCATCACGTTTTTGTTTCTAATGATCCGAAAAGTTTTTTTTGCTAAAAAAAGAACAAAGTTGGTCACATTATCATAACAGAAAGAGCAAATAGTTCTGATGAACATTACTATGACCTTTCCTTCTGTCTATGAAACGATTCGGTGTAAAATCAGATTAAATCTTAAACGTGGCTAAAATAGCTTATTCCGGTGAGTTGACATTCTCCGCAATTAAGCATTTTTTTGTCTTCCATGAAATTAATATAGAAGCCGAGAGAGAATCATAAAATCGATGTCAGTTGTACAACTTTCGAAAACTGGAGAAGTGCCTTTTATGCAAAGGGGTGATTTGCGAGTTTGCGGCGATTAATATTTGAACAGTCTTCGCTTGTGATGTTTACCGAGCCATTCTTAGCTGAAAGCTTCATTAAATCATACCCAGTTAACGCCAGGACAAAAATCCTATTGTTTGTCAAAGAGGTAGGTATAAATGTTGACAAAGCATCCGATAGACAAATAGAAAGTTTCTCTTTTAATTAAAAACTGAATACATCTATCTGTTGGGCGAGAACCAAGATTTATTAATAACGATATTTTGTTCCAAGCGTACTCATTTTCACATTCATTTTGATCCTCCTCCCCTCCAGGTATTTCCTTTTTGTATGACAATCATTTCGCGAAGAGGTGACATTTTGAAGTGAGCAGGAAAGTTCTAGTTCATATGTCAAGTGAATAATGGAAAGGTTCTCTTAATGGGCACAGACTTAACTTTATGACTGAATTCAACATCGTCGATGATCCGTCATCTTACTGAAACTAATTCTGCTGAAAAAAAAAATCTAGAAACAAATCGCCCGCCGGTTTGTTAGATAAGATACATGATAAAAAGAAAAAAAGAAAAAAAGGCGCCGAGGAGAGAAACTTAAAGAAAGTCAATTTATTTTCATTTTTTTTTTTCATCGTTATTTTCGAAGAATATTTGCATATTGACAGGTGCCTTGGAATAAGGGACATGAACTTGCTCGCATCTCTAATTGTCAGTTCTCAAGGAAGTCACGTCGGCGGGCGAAGCGTTTGTCATCTTGGTTTAAATATTCATCCTCTCTATAGTGATTATTTGAACAGCCACAGCAAACAGCAAGAACATTGAAATCTACAGCGGATCACTGTATCTTTTCACCGGAAAATTAACTTGTAGCACTTCATGAGTTTTGGTTAGTTCTTGGAAATTCACCTTCCTTTACGACCCGTAAATTGCCCCACAAGTCCGTTGCCGGAAACCAAGTGATAAATGCAACATAGTGGACAGCAAACAAGTACACCGCTAAGACGCCAACGCAGCACTACGCACAGATAGGGAATTTTTAAGGCGCTTCTAGTGAGTATAACGTGAGGCTTTTGTTCGATGTAAATCTACGAAGGTAACTATGAGCAATTCGGGGAATTTCACTCTGGAGAAAGGGCAGTCATCTGGAACTCCGGCCGTGGTTGTTGCACAAAGTGTTTTCCTTGCGCTTGTAATGTCAGTTGGGGCCGTCGCCAATAGCTTTATCTGCCGATGTATCCTCGCTCATCGCTCTTTGCGAACTATCACTAACTCGTTCATATTTAATCTGGCCGTTACAGACTTGCTCCTGTCTGTACTCTGCATGCCATTTGCACTAGTCTCATCTATCACAGGGATGTGGGTTTTTGGCGAGGTGATGTGCGTCTTAACGGGATTTCTCCTTTCCGTCTTCTGTATAACGTCCATACTGACCTTGGCTCTGGTCGCTATCGACCGCTACTTTGCCATCTGCCGTCCTCTGAAATATTGTACACTCGTAACGCAGAGAACCTGCTTGGTGATGATCGGGTACGTTTGGTTACATTCAGCTGTTTGCGCTATTATGCCAGTGTTCGGCTGGGGAGAAGGTTACAGATTTGTGGCTGTGGAATGTATTTGTCGACCTTCATTTGGTAAACCTTCGGTCGATAACGGATACACTTTCTTTCTATTTCTAAGTTGTTTCGCGGTGCCCTTTTCGGTCATTGCGTTCACTTACGTATCCATCTTATGCACAGCAAGGAGACAATTCAGACGAGTTCATCACCACAAAGGCATAAACGTCGGTGAAATGAGCAATGTGACCCAAGGAAATTCACAATTTAACGGTGAAACGACATTTGTCCGCACGCCTGAAAACACGGTGATCGCTGACGAAATCACATCTGCAACTAACACGTCTCGTGTTAAAAAGCTATATGCCCCGAGAGCGATACGAAACAAACGAAGGAAGAAAGTGCGTGGTTTCAAAATGCTGTGGATTATCATAGTAGTTTTTCTTATCTGCTGGAGCCCATATTTCCTACTTATATTTTACGGTTCCATAAATAACCACAGTTTCTCGAAAGCGGTCAAAGTTCCAACAACTCTACTGACGTTTCTCAATAGCGCGCTCAATCCTTTTCTATACGGGTTTTTGAACGGAAAGTTTCGTGATAGCATGCGAAACTTTCTCGGACAAAACATTACTTTCTGCAAGTGCAGGAAACAAAATACTACAGAATCACACGTACATCATATTAATTAGAGATTTTTTCTGAGTTTCTGTTTCGCATACTGGCGTACATTTATTAGCAGACAAAATCGAGAGCAGAAGGATGGACGGTTGTCAGCTTATAACACCGAACCATTTATTTTAATTGCTATTTTTCCAAGCAGTCACTCCCCGTTAACAATTTTACCTCCGACCAATTAAAGATAAAATTCAAACAAAGTTTTACAGTCATGTTGGAAACAATAGCCAAATGGCCTCGAGGCTTCTTTATGAATGCAAACGATGTAATTGGTTTAACATTGGCTTATCTTTCAAAATACTAAAAGCTTTTGGCTTAGTTTCATTGAGATCGTGTATGCATCTCATCTCACTGTGACTTCAAATTTCATATACCACAGCAGGTGGAAATTGGAGAAATACATTTAGCTCATTTGGAAAAATTTATTTCAAGTTAACTGCTGAGGAATTGATGTAAAGTTAAGTTTTCGTTTGTTCACTTGTTTTATTTTTGTTTCGTTGCCATTAATCTTCGTTGCTTTGTTTTTCGTTTTCTTTTCAAACAAGTTCAATATAACTCGTTCATTTTCCTTTAGGACGTCGCTCAGTCGAGACTGAATTTCCTCTCTTTAACCTCTCAGTATCGGGCCAAACTGAGGTGAAAAATCCGATAATTTTTCTGACTTTATTCACGAAAAAACATCCTCCAATCTATTAAACACTGTGGTGATTTTTTGACTTCCCAGATTAAATTTTTATTTCTTTTCGAAGTATTACCAAGCGCATAATTCATTAAGGAAAAACACTCTGACTTTAGGTTTTGCCTCAAGGGACTTCATGATAACCTTTTTTACTGTTTCAACCGGATGAACAAGTCATTTTTATGAAGCCCCTCGTTGCTTTCAAAATCTGAAAAGTTCTACTGATGGGCTAGCTCTCTAACAGAATTGACCCTAGAATGGCAAAGACATCCGCCCGACTCGCAAAAGCGCCGTTTCCTGGCATGCCCATCGTGCATCACTCGCTTTGAAACGGCGTAAAGTTTTCTCGATGTAACACGCAGGGTAAAAGTGGGTTCACCTGAGTAGTTTTAACACTGATAGGGGAATAGAGCTACTACAGCAGCATGCAAGCCCTTCATTAAGAAACAGAAAAACTGGAGAGCTGTGTGACAGCGGACAGCGGAGGAAACAAATATACGAAATACGCTTTTCACAGCTGTTGAAAACAAGCCAATCACAGCGGAGCATTACGCTTTGCAAACAGCCGTTGTTATCGTCCGAAGAGGATTAGCAATCTGCGGTCGAATTTCGCAGTTCACACAAGAAGCAAAAACATCGATCGTGAGACAGGATATGAAACTTCATTAACAGAGATGACTCTTTTGTTTTTATTGGGGAGATTGATGCCTATTCCCGCAGAATTTTGTCGAAAACTTCGGAATAACACATGGTATAGCATCGTTTCTCCAAATTTGAAAATACATTGCATCATTTTAGTCAAAGCGTTTTAAAAAGGCAAAACTCTACGCTTTAAGAATTCTCTTGTACCATACTTAAATCTGTCTGACCCTACGATACCTACCAGTGAGATTAAAAAATGTTGAGAGAAAGTAAATTTAAGAGATATTTTTGAAATTCTTCATTCGCCTTCAAAGTCTGGAAAAATAAAGTAATATATTTCTTTGGGAAGTCTTTCCCATGAACGATTAAAAATAATTAATGTTTTAACGCAGTAACTGAAGGAAAGTACGACAGGAAACATCGTCAGTTGTTTCACGTTTTTGTCCTGAGAGCAATTCGGGACGCATTAATACCTTAGAGCAATATTCCGTCGAACTGAAGAGCGAGCGGATGATGTCTTTTAGCACATGAGCGAAGATTTGAGTTTCCAGAGAAACAGGTGTACTAAGAAGATCAGTTTTATATCATTTTATCCACAGAACGTGCATGTACCTGTAATATCATCTTACATGTGACGTTATCAATTGTGCGCGTATATGAATCACATATGTCCGTGTTTCGCAATCTTCGCACACGGTAATGCGGTTTTTTTTTTTTTTTTTTAATATTTTTGCGGTGTTGCGGTGTTGAGAGTCTCCAGAGCTCAATATCCTCCTCTTCGAGCATTTAGCAGGTCGTCGTAAAGATATGTGGGATTGTGGGTTGTGCGTCAGTGTCTATTTATGTAATGACTGAAAGGGGATAAGTTTCTTACAAAACTGTGGTGCTGCGTAGGTGGGGGAAAATAACAAGATAGCTTGGTTTTATCAACTGGTCGATAAAGTAAATTGGCCACCGTAAAGAGTTTATAAGCTGACGTTTCGAGCATTAGCCCTTCGCTCCGACGAATTGCTAACTGACGCTCAAAATGGTGGCCAATTTACATCATCAGCCGACGTTTCGAGCGTTAGCCCTTCGTCAGAGCGTAAGCCCTTTGCTCAGACGAAGGGCTAATGCTCGAAAAGTCAGCTTAGAAACTCTTTGCGATAGCCAATTTATATTTATCGACTCAGTTGATATACCCAAATTATATATTTTCAAATGAGCCGAATTTTACGCGCATTGTGATTGGTTCTCACCAATGACAGACGCACAGACGACGTCATCATGAACAACTTTTTCTTTTTCTCCACCTTTAAATTGGCGGCATTTTTTGAAGAATTAGAGGATATTTAATGCCCAAATTAGCATGCGTGTAGGGTTAAAGATCGCTATCGGTAAAAATGGAACAATGACTAAATCACAGTTGACAGTCACAAACTTCTCAAATCTTGTACTTGAACAAACGATTTACTTGGAATTTGCACATTGATGACTCTGAAGTAAAGAACTGAGACGAATTAACCCTTGAGCTTTCAAGATCTGGCTGTAAATTCTCCCCTCTAGCTGCTGCAGATTTCCTTGTATATTAGTTACGAGAATTTGGGTCGATGTTAAGGATAAGTTAAGAAAACGAACACCACCCCTCCCCCCATGTAAACGTATTTGACTTGAGTTGGTATGGCAAAAAAGAATACATTTAAAGCACGAGGTTATGTTTGCTTTCAATGTAAATGACTTCGACCTCTCCTTCCGCGGCCGGTAACATTGAATCAAGATAAAAACTTCTACCTGATAACTTTGAGTATTCTAATTACCTATTTGCTGGATAATGGGTAGATATTATCTGAGGAAGTTACGTGTTAATCCCATACGGTCATCTGGTGGTTAAAGAATTAATCTCTTAAAAGCTATCAAAATTTATGTACTACAATGTGTTAGGTAGTCCTCTTATAGCACTTCTATCTCATCGGAAGAGGGACGGCAAATAACTGGCCTCTTTATGCTACGACACGTGATTGCCATGAGAGTAGCCTGAGAACAGATCGAGGGGCCCGTCTCTGGAAAGTCCCGGTAACTTAACGGTACCGAAAATCTTTTCTGTTTTCAATCAAGATGGTTTCAAAAATTTTGAAGAACATACAATAAAACTATTAGCTAAACAAGTAAAATAGACTGGTTTGGGCGCCAGAACTTGCCTTTCTATCCATTAAATGTTTATTTTAAAACGTGACTTGGGACCCGCTCAGTCACTTGAACTTTCGTGAAACGGGCCCCAGGCCCTCATTTTTAGTGCTTTCGGACGCGTGTTCTGCCGCTCGCGGCAAGATTAGAGACGAGGGGGAGAGCCTGCCAAGAGGCTGGCACTAGTTTTTTTCTTTTTCCAGTGCCAGACCCACTGCAGACCTTTTGCCGGCTCGCGTTGTTCAAGGCCTCATACTCCTCCGCGGGGGTTCCGCGGGAGAGGAAACGTTCGTGCCCAGGCTCTTGTAATGAGGGCCTGCCAAGAGTGTGGAAACTTTTTGTGATCAGATCTGACAAGAATGGTCGGAAACGAAGACGAATTCAAATGGAATCAGTACATTTCCTCGTTTCCTTGTGCATGAATACTTAAATTCTGAAAGAAAAAAAGATGAGAGAGTGAAGACGATATCTCGGACGTAAATAAATGAGTTCGCAAGTTAGTATATGCGGGGTAATCATAAGGGTTCAGATAGCAAATCCCGGATGTAAGCACTTTTAAACTAAATCCCAGGCCGCAACACGAGTTATTAGTGTTTCAGTGCCACTAACATGTTTGTGCAACCATTACTGGAGCTTGTCCCGTTTCAATTTGTTGGGAAAATTTGTTTCGTTCTTTTTCGTGGAAAATTTCTAACTCTTTGTTTCGGTTGTTGAAAGGACTCGCTTCCTTGACCATTTTTGCTGAATATTTTTGCTATCGCCACGACGTAACCGAAGAAATTTGGATCGATATGTTAACCTGTTTTCACCCTAAAATTAATTTCCATATTCTCCGCGTTGTTATGTATGTAATCTTTATTTAGTGATTGATTTAACAACAACATATACCTGCAAACTAACGTGCAATGTTTACAAAAATTTATCACCAAAGAGAAAACTAGTTATGATCTAAATGAAACTAAAAAGACATCTGTTGATAAAAGTTCGCTTAAAACGTTCTGTAAGTAAAGTAAGTAAGTATCTTTATTTGAGTGTCAAATACATCTTGCTATAGCGACACAATGACGCTAATTGGGGACACTATATTAAGAAGTAAATTCAAAAAGAAAGGATAAACATTAAAGTACAATTCTAAAAATGCAGAAAATATATGCTTGAAAAAATACTAATTAAAATGTGTCGTAAAGATACTTTAACCATATAGTAAAATGAGAATAAAATATTACTCGATTCTAAAATTGTTATGTCCTTGTTCTAAATGTTTCTTTTAAAAATAGCTAAAGATGACGATTCCCTAATTTTCTTAGGTAGTTTCGCTCATAGACGTGGTCCCAAGTACATAATCGAATGTTTTCCAGATCCAAACCTGACTGTTTTAAAACTTGAGCGACCTTTCTGTTCTCTCTACGTTTCCAAGGGTACCGCAAGGATAATTTGTTTGACAATGAGGAGCTTAATTCTGATTATTTTCTTTATTCCTATGACCTTTATATTTGATTCAAGGGTGATATTGTATGGAGAAATTAGAAAACCATTCACTCACAGGGTTGGAAGTTTAACATGGTTGATCAGTTTGAGAATCTTAATTTCATTTCCCTAGTAGCGATAACCTCGAGTTGTTTGAAATAACGAAATTTGTAGCGTTGTCAAAGCAACACTCGTAAAATAATACCTTTCAAGTCTTTCGGGATTCTTTTTTTCAAAATTCACTCGTGAGAAGAATTTGACTGATTTTAACAGGGCGCGCTAGAAGAATTACCTTTAATCTGTTCTGGACAACTTCGTCAACGCGTTAAGCCGCGCGGGCAGCCTAGTATCGTTTTGGCTAAAACGTGTTATCTTCGCGCTTTCAAAGAGAACAAAAGCGTCTTGCCTTGTTTTCAAAGATAAAAATGCTTTCAGAGCTTTTCGAGACATAATTAAATCGCTTTCGCCCGGACAATTGACTCGGAAGCTCCTATTGGTTGATATGATAAAAAATTTATTCTTCACAGCTTGCTTTCTTTTAAATCATAAATAATAAAATTTCGATCAGGGTCGGAGTTTATTCGCGTAACTTTCCCACTTTCGCTTCCTCTTCGTATGTGGCAGGTCTTTTTTGTAAGGAACTCGTCGTAAGATGATGTCAAACTGAACTGACAAGGTAAAAAAAGCGACTGAATGCCAATGGCCTCGAGCGAAGAGAAAATACCTCTGGTTCAGGTAATTATTCAATCTTCTTTCATGAATCTATCCATTCACAGGTAATACTGCTGATCTTAATTTAGAAACATGAACACCAAAGTAAATCCAGTAGCGATACAGACTCCGATTGCGTAAATACTTTTTATTTGACGCATTTTTACTGTGTAGTCAATGTTTCATTGTTACTTCGACGAAGACAGAAGCTTAAAGATCATACTTTGAAGCTCTATGTGTATGTTTGTTCGATCGAGTCAGTTGAACATGCATATAGATAAGGAGAGCTTCAAAGTTTTCAAATTGAATCATTTAAAATTACCCTCTGGCTGTTCATTAGAAAATAGTAATCGATTTTATTTTTTCACAATGGCGTTGCATTTGACAAAGGTTTCGTTGAATTACAATAAGAGCACAAAAAAATAATAAGATTTCGTTCCCACCTGTCTAGGTGAGTTCCTCATTCAACATTTGATTCAATTTCATGCAATTTGGGAAAATAATAAAGAAAACAAAAAAAATACACCGCAATTTTCGCGTTTGATTCCTTCACAGCTTGTTCATGTTAGGGTTACTCCGGCTTCATTACGGCTCAGTAGACTTTTAAGCTTCGTGCGCTCGACAAAAAAAGAAAACAAAAAAACTCCAAAGAGCGCTCAGTTCTTTCTCAGTCTTTTATAATTCAGGTTGGGTCTAACGTCGAGTCATTGAGTCACATTTTTGCAACTTCTGCTCTCGCTAAATTTCATTTTGCCCCAGGGATCAAGTGACAAGCTAGAAAATGGCCAAAGCAATCAAACTACGACATCAAACGCTTCGACTCACATCGGTCAAGGAGATAACAATTTACACAGTGGCGGCGGACAAGACGAAGAATTTTCATACGACTACACAAGTGAAAGCGCCAGCCCAGCTGCACCTACAACAGAGAAACGGCAACATCTGGAGGATGCCACAACGTAAGTACTACTATCTCATACCTAAAAAATTTCCAATTATACAACAAGGACTTGAGCGCCAACTTGGGTATCTGGTTCTTCAACTATCTCGTATTCAGATTTTATCAACTAAGGGGAGGGAGGGGAGGGTGAGGGAGGCGGCTAAGGGTGAGATTGGTTTATAGGGTAATAGGGGGAATAGTGGGGGATTTTTTTTATAGGGTACAACAGAGTAACCAGCGACAAAATACACGGAATAATTGTTACCTTTTAATTTACATTAACAGAAAGTCAACGTACTGTTCCTTAAGACTCGTTTAACCAGTGAACCGCCTAAGAGTGATACCGCTGAATCATTCATTGAGATCGTGAGAATTAATAAAGGATCAAAATGATCCCCAACCTAACAAGTTTAGATTGTCTAACGAAGTTTCCATGTTGGTACGTAAGGAGACATTATGGAGGAGACTATGAGGAATACGGATACTGATCAGTTTAGGGAATACAGAGTCAATCTCTAGGGTAGAATGATACAACTCCAGTGAGTCTTCCTTGAAAAAAGGTAAAAGGTAAATAAGGGACTGCTTTCTCAAGGCGAAGTAGAGTGCTTATGTTCCCAGAGCTCACTAAAGAGACCCTCTCCCTCTTTCCTCGTACAACTAAATACCTAACGAGAAGGATAAAATTTTCCTGGATCAAAGAATAACCGAGAAAACGTCTGATTTATGTCCATATTGCAGTAAATGGCTTGAACCCGGGGGTAACATGTGAAGGTGTAGTCTGATCGTCCGGGTGAGTGTAGTCCTGAGAAGGACTGTTGTCGGTGGTAGTGACTGACGTTTCGACAACCTGTGCGGAAGTCATCATCAGAGTCAAGTGAATGATTGTTGTCAGTAGAATGTTCTTATTCCAGTTCGTGTGAAATGATCGGTTGGTTTTGCCGTGATGTTATTGGCTGTAAGACTCAAGTGACGTAAGTCGGTCGTGATTGGTCTGTTTCGATCTGTCGGTAAAGTTAGGTCGTTCTTTTTCGGTCGTTTGTGATGTTTATGTCGTGAATGAGTCGTTTGTATGGAGCGGGTAGTTGTTGACATCTGTTTAGGGGAGTCTGTTCTAAGTTAGTAAACCAGCTTTCCAGAGTCAGTCGTTGAAAATAGTCAGTGCTGTAGGTTAGGCATTGCGCAGAGTCCCAGTCAATGTTGTGGTTGGTAAGTCGATGGTGTTCAGCAATGTGATTGCTGACATCACCTTTCCTCGTCGCCCGTCTGTGTTCAGTCAGTCTTGTTGTGAGGTTTCTGCCAGTCTCACCGATGTAGGAGGCTTGGCAGTCGGAACAATTGATCTTATAAATCGTTCCCTGTCTGTTCCTCGGTTCGTCTTTGTCTTTAACGTTGGTTAGTAACTGACGTAGTGTGGTGATGGGTTTGTGGGCGACGCGGATATTGAAGGGTAGTAAGATGCGCGAGATGTTTTCAGACATGCCTTTTATGTACGGTATGGTTGCTGTAGTCGTAGGGGTTGCGGTGTCGTTTGTTTCGGTAGTGGTAGTGGGTCGGTGAGTGTTTCGTCGGATGAAGTCGTTGTTGTAGTTGTTCTTCGTAAAAACACGGTGAAGGTATTTGTTCTCGTCGGATAAGCTGTCTGTCGAGTC